TGTTTCCGAACACTATACAATTCACTTGATTATTATGCTCACTTTCTTTCTCCCTCCCATCGAGACGGAGCTGCCTAGGCAAAGATTTGTATCTGCCTTATTTATTGGTAATTCCTAGAACCGTGCCTGGGCCCTTGGAAATGCCTCACGAGGAAGCCGAAGGCATGGTTGCGGTTCGATAGCCAGCTCTCTCTCCCCCGGGCAGGTTTTCAGCTGTTGGTGATTTCCCCTCCTTTCCTTGAATTTGCTTGAAATTGTTGGGGGCGGGGAGGAGGCAGAGTGCAGAGGGAGGATCCTGGGCCTTCAGAGATTACTTGTGTTTGCTTTGCTCTGCTGCATTGCTTCAGTCATCGCTGAACGCTGCAGGTGTGGAACTGGGCCTGTGACCCAGATCCGGGGGCGTTGGCCCAGACCGGACCCAGTTCCTGCTGGCGGGGGACGGGTACCACCTGCCGCCTCCCCCTCGGCCTGGGGCGGGCGATGCGGGCGGTTCCTGCGGCCCAGGCCCAGGGAGCCTGAGCCCTGCTCTCAGGGAGGCATGTGCCCTGATGGCGAATCGAACCGTGACCTCCGGGTTCACAGGTCACTGCTCAACCACCGAGCCACGCCGGCTGGGCAGCCTTTTTTTTTTCTACACTAACCTCGTGGTCTGACACCCGATTCTGAAATTGCCATTAAAGATCCCACTGCGGTCTCACGCCAACATAGGGCACGTGACGCTGGACGGTCCAGGCTTCCCTGGACACAGAATGAGATGGAGACTCCACTCCCTCGGGCCTTCCCTAGGCTGTTTGGGCTCCTGGCCGCAATGCCATAATATCTTGAGACAGGGCTTTAGCCAGCTGTGGCCTCGTCAGTGCCTCTCCCCATCTGGTAATCCTTTCAGACTTAGTTTTGGAGTGGCTGTAGGCAGTTTTCCTCGGGCATCGATTGGCCAGGCAGGCAGGGAGAGAGGAGGGCATTGGGGTGAGGCCTCCCCACCATCTGCATCTCTGAACCTCGACTCTGGCTGAACGGGAGCCACCGGAGGGGCTTTCAAAGTCCCCAGACTCAGGCTGCACTCCAGACCCAGTGGTCA